TGGAACTCGACCAGTCCCGCTGGATCTCTCGGGCAGAGGCGGCTTCTGCGGAGCTGGCTCTAGTTTCGCCAAACTCGACGGGGACGACGGGGCCGAGCGAGGCGAAGCGGGGGACGAGGAGGGCTCGAGGGGAGCGAGTCACACGTTCGCCGTGCGTATATTCGCGGGCCGGTGGAGCACGCAATTATCCGAAGTAGGTACCGAAAATACCAATGGAGGAATGGGTCATTGATTCCTCCGGCACCGTGCCAATGCCTCTCCTCCACTTCCTTCATCTCCTTCATCCTCCTCTTCTTCTTCGTCATTTCCCCTCCCGGCCCTCTGTCCCTCACCGCCCTGTCCTCCTCCGCGGTTCTGCGGCGTGCACACGTTGTTTCTCGTCGCCGGATGATTATATCGACCGCGTAGGAGGCTGGGCCGAAGCCAGAGAAACTGTGTGGCTCGGGGTATATCTATCTCTAGGGAGAGGAAGGGAAAAAAGGAGGAGAGAAAGAGGCAGTGTCAGGCGGAAGAGACGAGAACGGAGGAGTTCTCTCTCTCTCTCTACCGTGATTTCTGCGCCAATACGGACGTTTATCGCTAAAGTTACACGTACGTACGGGATGTACGTACGCGTGTCACCGATATCGAATCGCCGCGGCGCGGCGTAACGTCCCCCGGTGGAGAGAGATCGCCAAGAACCTGTCCTCAACGTCGGATTACCGACACGTATGGGCATGAAACGTATCGCGGGATCAACGTGAATTTTGCTCGACGATAATGTATCCTTCCGCTCGAATAAAGTCCTCAGCGGCTCTTCGAATAATTCGCCGGGACGCGCATCGCGCGTACAATCGTTTTTGCGACAAACGAATCTTATCTCGCCTCTCTTTCCTCGTCGCTTTCAATTGATACAATTTCCACTCGTTTGCCATTATCGTTCCGTTATTACTGTCACACGATGATACGCGGATCGTATCATCAGCGCTAATACCATTTCCGTTAATATTTCTCATTTTTACCGATAAAAGAATCGCGTCGAAAAAAAGTTATACAGTTTATCTAACAGTCGACGATATATCGCTGCATCATTCAGCCGAGTAAATTGCATCGTATCAGCTCATCATCGTCGTATCGTCGATGCACAGAGGAGTAGAGAGGATGAAATGGGGGGGGAAGGGGAGGGGGGCAGGATGCAGTCTAGATAAAATTAAAACGCATAAAATTAATGTTGGAAAGCTGTTACCTCGGACTGACATTTATCCCGCTATCGGGTTTCATCGGGACGAAATTATCGTATGTGACATGTCAGGAATATCCACATTCGGAACGACCTAACACACACTCCAAGGCCCGATTAAGCGATTGAACTCGATAACATGTAAATACGTTTGCCCAAATTACACGGTAATCCGTCCATCACGGATCTAGGTCAAACCTGGGCAACCATGCGCGAGCCAAATCGAAACTCAAGCGATTTACAATGGTGTAAGGGATTTGTCGTCGTCGAGTATCCTCGACCGAGATATTATTCGTGACGCGGCACGTGTTGCGCCATGAAATTGGCCGAGGAAAAATTATTAAAAACTTGTCGCGCAATTGCGACACGCGAGGCATGTGTCCGCAACAAGGGGGTAACCACCAGCTAAAATGTTGTCCCACCGATTACATGACTTCATTAGATCACGTACCATTTCGTCCAAGTACAAATAATTTCGTCTAATTGCAAAGAATTTTCCTATATGCACGTTTAAAAAAAGCAAGTTGAGAAAGTGTTCAAATTTTATGTTCATTGTCTCTGGCAAGCGAAGAAACTTGAGAATGAAGGCAAAACGAGATTACATGGAGATTTCGTGAGGATTTCATCATGATTTCGGAGACACTGTCCCGTGATTACATTAAGCGGTTACCCCCTTGATCCGCAAGACGTACATCCCCCCTTACTTGTCCGCCGTGATATATTTTAATCCTTGAAAATTTAAGGGGTGGTACACGGTGCGCCGCGACGACATATATCTGCAGGTATCGAGGATTCTCGGTGCTTCCTGAGAAAGCCGGTCGTTCGGAACGGGGCCCCGAAAGTCGTTATATCGGAACGTGGGTGTGGGAAAGAGGATACAACGATGAATAATGACAAGAGATTAATTCTGTTTGAACGGACCGAGAGAGAGGTAGAGAGCGAAAAGGGAGGTATGCGAAACGACAATGCCTCCTTTTTCGCGTTCGCCCAATTATGGAAGCGCTCGGGCGACGTTGTAAGGAGGATTCCGGGCGCTACCGTGAATAAAGGGCATTTCTTTGCGAGGACTCGGCCCCTAAGCGAGCGTCGATCCTGGAGGACATTCACCCGTGTTCATCATTCGTAGACAAATAGAGAATTTTTTAAAGAATGTTTCCTCTCGAGCGATTCGCCCGAACGGCGCGATACTTGAAAATAATTTGCATGTATTTTAACGAGTCGCTTAAGAAGAGCTCCGTCCCTTCAAGGTCCTTACTTTTCGAGGAGGCTGAGAGGACGTTCGGCAACGCGAATAGAAATCGTATAAATGTGTAAGGTGTAATTTTGCGAATTAAATTTGCATACAAATCTATTATTGCCCTATGTCGCACGCCGCTATTTCATGTCAAGAAACGAGCATATCGGAAAAAGGACATATCCAATTCTGAAGTAGAAGTGTCCTTAAAATAAATGGTTCTCTCCAAGTAACGTTCGAAACTCACGTTTAACTAGAACGAATTCATTATTCTATTAATTAGGCGGAGAATTTCCATAGAGTTTTAATTTCAGCAGTCATCCAGTATGCATATAGCTTGGCAACATTTGTCATTCCTGTATAAAATTTGACAACCGTTGTTACCAAGGCGAATCGTAAGAGGCACTTCCTTCCCGTTTCCGCTCCCTCTCTGTCTCTCTTCTGTGTCGCAGGTAAATTTTATCGCGCTATTTAGAGAATGATCCCAGCACCGAGGGAGAAAGAACTTTAATTTGATCTCAAGCCATACTTTCCGTTCGCGGCCCCTTTTATATTCACTCTGATTTGCGGAGGCAGCGAGCTCTCCCTCGCGGATTCGGCAGGAAGATTACAACGTGTCCCCGGGATTTTTCGTTAATCCCTCTTCGGCCGCTCTCTTGCGCCTCGGAATTCCCGCGCTAATCCGGGGCGGTATAACGTGACTTTCGTCCAACTTCTCTCCCGATAGAGAAGCGCGAAGGAAGGGGGGGCGAGGGCGAGAGGGAGGTATCCGTCGGTCGGGAGGAATAAGTTAAACGCCTTCGTGTATATAGGGGCAGCGCGGGGCGCCGCGGGATGAATAATAATGAGGGACATTCAGGGGTGTGCGCAGGGGAACACCTTGTCGGGCGTCTTTTCGTAAAAAGGCCGTTAAGGTGCTACCTTAACGATCCCCTGGGCCCCACGCCGCCGTCCCCAAAGGTGGGGCGCGGGGCGGGGAAGGGAAGGGAAGGGAAGGGGGAGAGATCGCAGGGCCTGCACGTGGAATGCAGACACGTAATGCTCGCAGAATGCGCCCGGGCCGCCGACCGCCGGGAATTATTAGTGGATTCGTGAGAGAGATCCCCTGAATGCAACGGGTCGGAGCAGGTCTATACGCGCGCGGCATCGGCCCCGTGTATGTACACGCACGAGGGGAACGGGGGGGGGGGGAGGGGGAGACGCACAGGCACGAACAGGTACGAAGCGGAGACCTGCCGCCGGGTCCCACGAGGGCCCTGGACTCCCCCTCTTCCCGCGGTCCCACCCGATTTGGGCCTTGCGAACCTTTGTTCGCGATTCGACGAGTCCGAAATCGATGCGGGATAAGACTCGCACGATTAGGAGGATATTCAGCATATCCGCCGAAGGATATGACTAAGACTAAGGGGAGACACGGTCGGCCAGGGTGAATCGGTGAGAGAAAAGTCCGGCGGCGCTCGTCAAGGTTTCTCGTTTTCGCTCGCCCGACGACCCGCCTTCGCTGAAAACGCGAGGAGGCGCCGCCGAACTTGCCGGTTAGTTAAGACGAAACGAGAGAGGTAATCGGAGACGATCGGCGACCGCGAATCGATTTCGACGCGGCGCGGGGAGGGACAAGCCGCAGAGACGACGAGCGAGGAATCTGGCTTCTAAACGAAACGAGCGGAGGGGGATCGATTCTGTCGTCGCGGCGCGGCGTGGCCGCCCGTGTGAGAAACTTTTAATTGCGTTCCGCGCGCGAGCGAAGCGGCCCATTTCGTCGGGACGTCGGGGTCGAGAACCGGAACGAAGGGACGAGAAATCGTGGTGTAGGTAGGTGGAAGGTAGGTGGAAGAGGAAGACGGGAGAGGGACGAGCGCGAAGAAGGAGGACGGCAGGGCGAGCGGCGCGAGCGAGTGCATAACTTATGCGTGTTCGCCGAACGAAGAATTGTCTCGAGGTGGGCAATACGGGGAACGCGCTGGCGCGCGCCGCGTGGAAGACGAATGTGAAAAGCGTTGGGAAAAAGAGGGGACCGGCCAAGGCGAACCGAGGGTGAAACTCCGTCGATCACCCTGCGCGTATTCGCGTCAGGTGCGCCGAGAAATATCAAACGTATCCGTGCACTTGGGTGAACTTGGATGACTAATAAACGAAGTTTAAACTCGCCGTGTGTGCGCGCGTACACGCGCGCAGATGTTTAAAAAAATTCCACGCATCAGTCGCATAATGATTTCTACTTTCGCGATCCCCGGCGAAATCCTCTCGCTCGTGATTAGCCGCTGGACTGTTGGCGCCGAGGGGGAAACCGCTGAGGGTATTGCTGGGCATTACTGGACACTACTAGGCATTACTAGGCAGTAGACGTTGCTGGGGCATTATGAAGATAAAACAAGATAAAATAAGATGACAAGATAAAGTAACGCCCACTGGGCATTAGTGGGCGTTGGTGTACAAGATTTTGGCCAGCGGTTTCCCCCTCGGTTGGCGTTAACTCGACGTCCCCGAGACGTCTCGAGACGCGAAAATCGTTGACGGAACGGCGCGAGGAAAGAACAACTCACTCACCTTCTCCTCGAGCAGCGGGCCGTTCTCCATCGCGTGCATAATGGCATCCGAAATGCGGGAGTCCAAATCCCTGACGGCGGACCTGACGTTCAGGCCGTGGTGATCGCTCTTGCCGCTGATCGCCGCGACGAGCCTCTCGACCGTGTCCACGTAACCGGACCACGCGAGATCCAGATCGGACGCCGGCTCCGTCAGGCAGCCTCTGCAAAGTTTATTTGCGTTTACTCTTTCTCTCTCTCTCTCCCCCCCAGTGATCTCGCAACTGGCGAAATTGAGGCCGCCGGCACGCGAATCACCGCGCGATTATCATATCGGAGTCATTACGCGAGTCTGATAATTATAAATCCGCTCTGCGAGATAATTTCCCCGTGGCGATCGCGAACGGACGATTACGTTCCGTATCTCACGTTGGGAGCACCAATTTCTCGATCCGAGATAATTGTAGATAATTATAATAATTATCAATTCGGTCGCTTAATCATTCAACGGGAGGGGGAGGGAGGCGGCGTTACAAGCGTCATTAGTCGGTCGTGCACAGTTTGCCGCGAGCAACGGTCGGTATTTCCCGTATCGTTGTGCCCCAGGCCGGAAAAGCGGATTTGTCACGCCAATATAAAAATTCGACGTTCCCCCTTAACAATAGGCCTCACGGAGTCCCGAAGGAAGTCTCGGGGTATAACTGTCTCTTTGTGCACCGGCGGCCACTTACCTAACTACGTTCGTGCAGAATCCGCCGCAGGGTCTCACGGTCTTCCCGATACCCTTGCACTTGGGACAATAGGTCATCCTAAGCAGGGCGTCGTAGCAGGCGTCCTGTTGAGGACTCTTGCCGATGTTAAAGATCATTCTGTCCGTCCTGTCGAGGACAGTTTTACCGAGCGTCAACGCCTCCACCAGAATCCTGGTGGCATCCAGGCTCTTGCCGATCTTTAATACTTCCTGCGGCGTCTCGCCGAACGGCTGTATGTCGTCGATCCTCTCGTACAGGCAGGACTTGAACTTTTCGGTGAAGTCCCGCCAATCCCGATGCCCGTTCGGATTAATGGCATAATGGTAGGCGATCGGGAAGAGCCGCGTGAAGAATTCGTTGATGCGCTCCTGCAGCGTCTCGCGCGTCAGCGGCGGCCGCTGCTGCGGATCGTCCGAGGTGTCGTCGGCGGACGACACGTAGTCAATCATCGACTGGTAGAACGCCCGGATCGATGGTCTGCTCTGCGGCGCCATTGAGCGGTACACCTGGTCGAACATGGTCACGGTCGTGTTCTCCGACCTCCGCAGCAACACGATCATCGTCTCTACGCAGATAGCAGAAAGAAGCTCCCTTTAGGGCCAGTTTCACAAACATCCCGAGTAAAAAACATTAATAAGGCTGTGAAAAGGTCCTGATCAATTTTCCTTAATATCAATCGGGTCCTAATAAATGATCAGGCCCCTGAAAAGTTTGTAACAAATCGTTTACAAGAACCTTGCTTGCCTTCTTTTAAATTACAGAATCCGATTGTGAGCTGAATAGTTAATATAGTCACTGACTTGCAGTTGTAAGTATACCACTGCAACTTAGTATATTTACAACTGCAAATCAGTGACTATTCACCGTTTTCGGTGATAATTCACCGATTGGCTTTTAGAGAGCGCGCGGATCCGCGAATCGGAGACCGCAAAAATACTGGAGGCTCCCGAAGTCTTTTTAACTCTCGAGGAGATTTCCCCGTCTCTCGTCTCTCGTTCGATACGTCGTTTCATAGATACGATATAGAAAGAATCTCTCCGCAAACAGAAGAGGATGCATTTTTTAGAAACCTTGAAATGATAACAATTACAAATCAATGCCTTTGTAAGATTAGACGGCAACGATAGCGGAGATTAGCTTTTAAAATTCCGTTCACGTGAATGCAGTTTTTCTCCGTAGAAAACGTGGATGAGACGTATATCGTCCGGTGGAAAAATATTTTCTTTTTCGAAGATTACCTTTAGCGAGGTCCGCTTTGTTTGTATTGTAGGAAGTTGAGAAACACAAAATATACCTGAGGAAAGAAAGGATCACGCCGAGGTATCGGAAGAAATAGTTGTTCAGGGGACCGAAAAGATAAAGACAGCCATCCCCAATACAAGGGGCTTGTACATGTCAGCGGCTTATCCTTCCTCACCCTCTCCCCTCCCCCTCCGCTAGTTCTCCTAATCTAACTCGATCAAATAATTCCTCATGCAAATCCACCCACTTGAGATTTCGTGAGTGGAACGAGAAGAGCCGCGCTTACGGCGGACCAAGAACGAGCGCGGTCGCGCTTAATCGTGCGAACGCGTAAAACGAAGAAGACGGACGATAAGTGCTCCTCGATTCCCGCTTTGGTTTCAAGTGGCCTCGACAAGAATCTATGCGCCTAGGGACGTGCATCTTGCGGCTCTAATGATGTTATCGAGAGAAGTGGCGATCGGCCAGGGACAAGAAGGCCCGCCGATTATCTTCACTTCGATAGTATCGATTCGAGCGCGACGCGGCGTGTAGGCATCGCGCGCAAACGCTTTAAATACGACGTAAAGAAACGCGTTGCGTTTGTGATGCGCAACGTGAATCGCAACGAAATTAATTACGTAGACACGCGTTCGTATGAAGATGTACGCTTGAATACAAATTAAAAGTGCATATTTATACGCGTATTGTAACACATAAAATTTGCATACACAAAAAGGTCTAACGGCTCTTTTGAGGTTTAACAACGTTACATACTTTTAAACGTGCACGTAAGAAAATCATTTGCAATTGAATGAGATTATTTGCAATTCGGATGAAATCGTACGAAATCAAATGAAATCGTGCAATCGGTGGGACAACATATTGGCTGGCGGTTACCCAGCCTTGTTGCAATGTGACTTATGAGGCGGACAACTTCGAAAATTTCCATCGGCGGCCTCGCACGCGCAACCGAGAGCGTGAGCCGTTTCGAAACGCCGCCGTTTCTCTTCAAAATATGGTCCCCTCCTCTCGGAGAAACATCACGCACGATACTGAAATTGGACTCGCCGCGAATATACCGGTTCCGATATCTGATTTGCGACATTGCGCCCCAGAATTATGCTCCGCGGAACGAAAGTCGCGTTTCCCACCGGGATCGCAGCCGAGCGGAGCGTAATTTATTTTTAAATGAATATGTCTCACGGTTGTGAAGCGACTAAAATTAACGAGAAATAAAAATACGCGTCGCGATATCCCGCAGCCGTCGTCTTTCGTCGTTTCTCCCCCCCCCCCTCCCCTCTCTCTCTCTCGCTCTCTCTCGATAGGGAAACAGACATTTACTTTCCTCCTGCAATGTGAAATATTATTTGTCGAGGCGAATCATATCCACGTTAATTCAGACTTCAAAGGCGCGCGACTACTCGGATTTGTTTTTCTTCAATTACCGAGATTCCGTCGAATGGACAGAAATAAACCCGGCGATGACCGTGCGCGTCCTTTTAGTGGGAAATTACATCGATCCCAATCAGACAAGCACGTAAATCGCATGGCATTCCTTCGAACCCGAGACAAACACGACGATCTTCTCTCCCGACATACCTACTACACGTATAACATGTTAGTGGATAGATAATAAAAGACAAATGCGAATTTTAAAATATTTTCTAAAGAATGCAAGAAATGCTCTATGAAGTGTAAATAATTCTAACGTTCGAGATATTTTCTAAAGAATGTAAGAGATGTTCGATGAGGCGTCAATAATTCTAACGTTTAATTCGTTACAAATTCCGACGGATTATAACAACGTAAATTTTCAGATAGCTTAATAATAATCGAAAAGTTCCTTGGAAGTTTCTTTCAAGTACCAAGTTATCATAATTGTCAAGCGCCATACAGAAATACATCGATATCAAATGATTTCATCTGCGATCGATTATAAACGCGGATCCTCAAAGTAATCCATTAATAAGTTATCGAGAGATTCTCAAGTGTAGAGACAAGTCTCATGAATTTAGACATGCGTAATCAGGACAGAGCTTAAAATTCAATTGTAAACATCGTGCTATCAATTTCTAACACAAGTACAAAAATTACCAGTGAAACGACGACAGACCGCGTATATTAAGGGGATGCTGAAGTGATTCCGCAACCATTTGTATCTAGAACCGTCAATTCATGAAAACGTTTGTGTATTATAACATACAAATTGTGTGGCTTTTGTGTACAGATCGACGGTGGTCCACTAATCGGACTAATCAGTAATCGGAGAAAAGCATGGTATCATTGAAATTAGCGGAACGCTGTCGGTCTGTACACAAAAGCCACATAATTTGGATATTACACAAATGTTTTCGTGAATCGGCAGTTCTGGGAGTGAAAGGTGCAAACAAACCAAATCGGCATTTTGGGTAAGGAAATATCATAATTTATACATGGGGAAATTCTTTTTAAAAATCGACCAAGCTGGCATAAAAGTGATATAGAGGGCGAGGAAAAAGCATGGAAACACTTATATGCATTTTAGAAACATTTTAGAACAGTTTTCGAAAAATTTAGGGGGGTTTTCATACTTTTTCCTCACCCTGTATATCACTATTATGCCAGTTTGGTCAATTCTTGAAAATAACTATCCCGTGTTTAATTACTACTGGCGACAATAAGCCTCACTCAATTGGATAATTTATATTTGTCAAGCGCCATACAGAAATACATTGATATCACATAATTTCATTTGCAATCGACTATAGACGCGGATTTTCAAAATAATGCATTAATAAGTTATCGAGAGATTCTCAAATATAGAAACAAATCTCAAAAATTTAAACATATTTTTCCAGCATCCCCTTAAACAAGTGAACTGTTCTTTTTATAACTCTATTTACTATTCAAAAAACTTGTTAAAAATGCGTTAAAACATGCGCTAAAAATGTCCGTTTCTACACTGATCAAAAAAATATTACTTTACTCAAGAAAATGATTCATTAGGTGGCTCCTAATAGCTTATTAACTTAAGTTTAAAAAATAATAAACATATTAAAACATGCATTGCTTTAATTTAAATATTTATTAAATATCAAAGAATAGAAAAATTTTATTTTAATTCTATAAAATGTTTTGTAAGATGCAATTTTCAGACAGCAGCGACGAAAATTTGATTTCTTGTTTAACAAAAACAATCACTTTATTTAATAAATAGTTCTATACCTCATGAAATCTTTATTTGGATGTAGAAAAAATAACGATTTAAATTAATTTACTTAATATAATACACAGATTTACTTGAAATTTGAAATTTTTATTTAAATAGAACAAATATCTACTTCAGTAAAAAAAATAATTTTAAGTAAATCTACTCAGTTAAAAAAAATCCCTCGTCAGTGTATCAATACGCAGATTCAATCTCGGTTTAACATACTTTTCATCTTTCTCTAGTTCTAAGAACTCGAAAGGGGTGAAATGTAAGTTAAGCCGAGATTAAAGTTAATCCACATTAGTAGAAATGGATATAACCGGCCGCTAAACCCGAGCGTGGAACTCGGATGGGATCGGGAGAAGAGTTCGGTCTCCGCGAGGCCGCGAGAGAAAAACATCGACGCGCACTTGGTCCGTCCACGAGGATACAAACACTCGAGGCGCGGAGAAAGGGAAAGAAAGAGAGAGAGAGGGGGGGAGAGAAAGAGAGAGAGCGAGAGGAAGAGTTTTTCGCAGCATCGAAAATAGCAGAAAGCGGAGGCTGCGCTTGAATTCTAGACGCCACGTTACCGAGGCAACGACACGCGCCTCGCGAACACGCCGCCTCCGCCTCGCGTTTCCGCGCACGCTCCGCCGCCTATCATCCTCTGTGTCTTACCTCGTTTTCCGTTTCTGCCCGCGCGCACCGGTTAGCGTGTATACCCCCGGTATAAATACCGGACTGACCACGTAATCGCGATGACTAAAGGAGCCGGTGGTACACGGCCGAATCGCTCCATGCTGAAACGGCGCGGCCGGCGGGGCCGGGCCGGGGGAGAAAAAAGTTTCTCGGAAAGTCGAAAAGAGGCGAGAGATGAAATCATCGGGGGGGCCCCCGTTGCCCCGGAGCGAAACAAAAGCGCAGCCGTCCGGCGGTGTCCGTCGTCGCGCGATAGGAATAAGATGACGCGCGGTTAATTGAAAGTAATAAAGCGGGTAATGTGGAACGATGAAGACGAATCACGGTTGACGTCGCGCGTTAATTTCCCGTATGCAAATTCCGCCGGGGACTCTCCGAGATGAGGAGTGACATGTTTGCGCGGCCGATCTTACGCGCGAGGCCGATGCAGGAATTAAGGAGATAGATCGGCCGAGCGACAGAGGGAGGCGAGGACCGCGGAGAGGAGGGATAGCGGTTCGCTTTCTTGTCCCCGTATAAGGCGGCACGCGGAGAACGACTCCGATTCTTCACCTTCGGGGGAGTTTCGCGGAGAGTCTTGGAGCGAAAGAGAGACAGAGAGACAGACAGACAGACAGACAGACAGACAGACAGACAGACAGACAGACAAACAGACAGACAGACAGACAGAAAGAGAGAAAGAGAGAAAGAGAGAAAGAGAGAAAGAGAGAGAGAGAGAGAGAGAGAGAGAGAGAGAGAGAGAGAGAGAGAGAGAGAGGGGGGGGGGAGCCGTAGCCCAAAATCGTCCACGATAATTATCGAGGCTTTCAGTGTGCAAGAATCACGGGCACGACGAGAACGATAGAGGCATCTTTTCGGGGAGGGAAGCGTCCCTTTCGCTCTTTTGTCCAACTTTTGCCGATACACCGAGGAACCTCCGTAAATCAAACGCTCGCCGAAGGGCGAGCGGAACGCGCTGAAAACCCTGTTATTCTAATGACAAAACACCGGAAACGAAGAATAAACCGCCGGTCAACTCTAACCGATGGCCCGAGGGGTGCGTTTACGGCGGAGGAGGGAATTTTATATACCTGTATATATTACCTGGAGGGATACGCTCGATTACGCGTTATCGATACGGCGTACTGTGTGTTCCCCCACCTTTTCTACCTCGCAGCAATTTTATAATTCAGCGACCGCGGACCCCGCGGCTCTTTCTTCGAAACAAATTCGAAACATAAATTTGTTCGCCCCGTATACACGCGGGGCCGAAAAACGTATTCATTTGCCGCAGGATTGGAGAAGCACTTCACTCGAAAAAGTCTTCACCTCGCGGCCCTTCGCGGAGTTGAAAGTCTGCGTTATTAAATTTTTATTCGCCGCCGACCGCACGCTATTTTATGATACGACACGGGGCCCAAAAATCATCGACTCGCCCGATATATCGTAAAAGCCCGAGCTGCTCCGAGCTATTTTATACAAGCACCATCCGACTCCACGCGTCTTTTGTCGTATCAGGGGGCTGGTTCTACTTAACCAAATTATTTATTAGATCGCTTTTAACAGAAAGATTATCCAACAGATGAATTAAACAGTCATTAAAATAACTCGAAGATCTACTTCCGACGACGAGGATCGGTGGACGCTGGTAAAAAAAAACCGGAAGGGCAAAAAAATTTGAGCGCTCTTATCAGAATGTATCGGGCATTTTGACGAGTAAAACCGAGCGCGACTGAGCCGCGTTATTGCGGATCTGTATCGAGCATTTAGCCGTCTAAAATATTCAGCGGGGCCAGCGGACGCGTTAGAATGCGGCTTTAAAAGGTGGAGTTATCCTACCTTTGAGAGCGTCGACGGTGGTGGCGAGGAGGCCTTGTAGACTTCTACTGTGATGATGGATCAGACTGTGGAAGTCCGTCCGGGCTTGTTCCTTCAGACGCTCCTCCATCTCCGCGCCGCAGCACTTGCCGCCGCATATCGCTGAGGAAAAAAAGAGAGAAATATTTCGCTTTATTATCACGCCACGTCACACAGCCGTCAGAGTCGAGGCGGTTACTCCCCCTTTTCGTTCGGCCCAAGTTAAATCGAATTGGGCCACCGAGGGCTCCCCGAGAGTTGCGCGTTAAATTGCATAAACTGCGTAAGCTCCCCCGGTGATATAAGAGTTCGGTGATCTGACCCATTTGCGAGAAATCGCGGCCCGCTGAAAGAGATCCCGAGGTAAATGAAATCCGAATCGCGGAATCTCCCTCTCTCTCTCTCGCTCTCCGTAATCCGAGCGGTAATTCCGTTACATTGAATTGTTTTATCAAACAGGGAATTTTATTTTATCGAATTAATCGGGGTTTTCATATCTTTCCACGCGCAATTTCGCGTTCGGGTATTTCGCACGGATGTCCTGTCCGATGTACCAGGCGTCAGCCGCGCGTTATTTGCAATTGCGCATTTTCCAAAAGAAAGGATCGACGCGACGCTCAATTGACACGCTCTGCGAACCGACACTCTGTCTCTACCCGACTGGAAATTAAGGTAAAGGTTCAAATAAGGACCTTATAATGTTTTTCTTTATATGTAACGCCGTTTCCCTGTGTGGTCTTTACAGGCTATCACAATCAGGTCATAATCAGGTCCTTATTAAATTATACGAGGTTCTCATAAAAAAAAGTATGACAAGCCGTATGATATTTGTTATCAGGTCCTTGTTACATTACCTATCCATGACCTTATATACTTGTTTTTTATGAGGACCTGGTATAATTTAATCAGGACCTGATGATGACCTAATTGTGACAGCCTGTGAAGACCTCATGTGGAAACAGTGTTATATAATAAATGCTACATATGGTAAATGCTCAATTTCCAATATATATAATATATGTACGTGTAGACGTGAGATCCTACAGGATCTCGAGATAATTGTAGCAATGCGCTGCAGAAGAATTCTCAAATCTCTTCCGTGTTTTTTGAAAGTAATCTCGGCGATCGAACATCAAACCTGACCCACAATGTGCTCTTTGCGTCCAGAAATGCTCTCTCTATGAGTCAATCAGTGGATTATCACTGAAAACAGCGAACACTCACTGATTCACAGTTGTAAGTATACCACTGAGGTGTTTAGTAATATATTTATAACTGTGAATCAGGGACTATTCGCTGTTTTCAGTAATAATCCACTGGTCGACTTTTAGAGTTCTATTTTATATAAATCGCTCACTCTCTTGAAAAAATTAGTCGACGTGCACGATTGCACAATGTATAATTTAGCAACTTGCACACTTTTTATTAAACGTATTTCTTGGCTACAAAATGGAATGTGTCTAGACGCAAGGAGCACAATATAGATCCGCCTTTAAAAATAAAAGACGGCAATCACGAGAATTATACTGAAAAAAATTTTCGCTACCGTAGCTAATGGCTTGGTAAAAATATATTGCTGCCATGCACCCGCAGAAAACATTTTCGGGTCCAGTGCTATTACACTTGAATGTATCATAAAATAGGATCGATATCAATCATATTTATTATAGAGAGAAAGGAATACTTTGATCTTAAGAACGTTCATCGGCTGCAATCGTAGCCAAAAGTTTTCGCCCACGTTCGCTTTTCTTTCCGTATGGCGCGACCGTCTCCCTACTTCGTGACTTTTAGCGTAAATTATACACGTTACACAATTAACGCAACTCTGCGTCTTACACGTATACACGTACACAAGCACGCTTATGTTGCCTTTGTGAATGTATTGGCCGACACGTCTCGAAATATCGTCAGAGGGAGAATTTCGAATTGCAATTACGCATAAACGCACGGAAAAAACAATGTAGCTGCTGTAGCTAAAACTTAGCAAAATAGGGACAGCTAATATTTTAGTTGTGATAGCTCAATATTTTGCTACTGTGCCTATTGTATTAGGTGCGACAGCAAACGGTTTGCTGTCGTAGCAAAATATTGAGCTATCACAACTAAAAATATTAGCTGTCCCTATTTTGCTAAGTTTTAGCTACAGCAGCTACATTGTTCTTTCCGTGCGGTACGACGTATCCCTATCTTGTAATATGTCATTCCTGATATCATTATGCGTCATAGATTATTTTTCTGGCAAAATACATAAACAATTTTTATCACAATAAATTAAAATATCCCTGCGGAACACGTCTCGCCTATACCACACGAGTAACTTTGCTACTGAATATCTCAACTTTGCACCGTACACGGTTTTTTAAATTGAGCAGGCATAGAGATAACACTATTAATAGCATATGCTCCAAATTTGATACGTAGAAAATCGATTTGCCGAGCAACGTCCATAAATAAAAAATTCTAAAATTCTAGAATAAAATGACGTATCGTCTTTTGTCGAATATTGTGGTGCCCAACCTCTTGTAAGATGGAGGGAAAATATATTCTAAACGCAAGAATATGTAAACTTACATTTATATAAGTTACTCTTGTCTCAATATAGTAAAGCCAACGGCACACGATACAATGTTTCTTACTGGATTGCTTAAGAGAACCAATAAGGATGCAGAGTTTTAGATCAGACGACTTAAAGCTAAATCCTGATTGGCTCACGTAAGTAATCCAGTAGGAAAAATAATATTGTGTGCCGTTGGCTTAAGTCAATCTTTTTTAATTCAATGGAGGGGAATAAGAATTATTGATTTTATTTCGATATCGTCTTATTTTTATACTAAATGAGGTTGTGCATGCAAGGATGAAAACAGGGTGGATGGAAATAAGTATGCGAGAATAAATTAGTTAAAAAGATATTGTAAACCAAGTCCACTTCTTTGCTGTAAGCTGAAGTTAATAAACTATATGTATGCTATTGGAGGTTGTGAGAAATATAAGTGTATCGAGAATATTTTTGTCTCGGTAACAGAAATCCTTTCTGAGGGTGTAACTATAAATTTCTAAACCGCAGCAAACGATTTGCTGTCGCACCTAATAAAATAGGCATCAAGTAGCGAAATCTGTAGCTATCACTCTGGAAGAAAAAGACAGTTAGCAACCCATTTTGGGGCCCACAATTAGTAATCGAATTGTTTGCATTGTTCGTAACTCTAATCTTTTACGAATTTTACCCCGCGTAACTAAAAATCGCAATTAGCCATTCTATCTGTATCCCAGATTTTTAAGTAATTAATACTAATCAATTCTCTCAATTAATTCTGTCGATATTCAGTAACGCAAAGATAATTTTCGCTTAAGAGGCACTAACGGAAATGTTAAGTTGCTTAACTGCAAAAGAAAACGGTCAAAATTTTTCCCAGAGTTACGAACAATCCAAATAATTCGATTGTCTTCTTTTTTCCAGAGCACCACTGAATATTAGCTGTCCGTATTTTACAACTAAAGTTTAGTTGCCACACGCAGCTTTTAGCCACGGCAGTTACATTTTTCTTTCCGCGTATACCAACGACTCTCTTATTTTATCGCAATTAATTCGAGCCGCGCTAATTATCACGAATCTTCGAGGGATTTTATTCAGAATTTTCGCGGAAACGAGCTCCGAGAAATTCAGCGTGGAAGACCTTCCGCAACCCGTGGGAACTTAGAAAGCAAAATTCACGGCGAAGCCCAAATAGGCTACTCCAATTCGCGGCGCTCGGCACATTTGCATATTAAATACGTGCCTGAGCATGTAGGGCGTTACATTAATATCACGCGCACGGCAATAATATCGCGCTTCCGCGCGATAATTTTGACCGGGATCAGAAAATACGCGGCGTCGCGGACGATCGAAATCCCGCGGCGTGACGTGCATTCCTCTTTGCCTGCGAGCGAACCGGTTTCGCGACCGAGCGCCGCGTCGAATTTAAAAATATATACGGGGCGCAGCGCGAAATAAAAATACACGCGAATATAGAAATCGCGATAATTAGAAGACGAATGCGAGAGGCCGTAAGAAAAGCAGGCGGCCGTGGCGGGTGCGGAGGAACGTGCGTGTAAAAAAAAAGAAAGAAAAAGGAAAAAAATCGTAGCGAGCGAATTGGCCGGCCGGCGATGTCGATTGTTGAAATAAATTGACTCGGGATATTTAGAGTGTGTGTGTGTTAGAAGTGAAAAAGAAATTAATGGACAGAGCAAACAGTTTAGTCGGGTAACAAGGCTAATACGAGTCAACTCGCAAACGAACGCGATAAAGAAAGGAGAAAAGGGAGACGTACAACGTCCATGCGCGCGACGTTAATCTACATGTAATTGTACATGCACATATATAATTACTCGCGGGGAACGTTAATTTTCCTCCTCCTCCTCCTCCTCCCCCTCCCCCCCCCCCCGCCCCACCCGGAAAGCGGAATGTCGCCGTTACTTATCGGGGATTCGAGATTCGTGCACAGCGTTTCCCCCAAGCTTTTAGGAGCGTTAAAAATAAGACGTTTCATAAACGGCCAACTCAGCGAGATTGATGGAAAAAGAAGCACGGGGGGGGGGGGGCGTTATGCAACGCGCGCGCGCGCGCGCGCGTCGCAGTCGCGTATATTAGCCAATAGGATTAATTCCAACGTTCCGAGAAACGTCCCAAGTTGCGCGATCGACGAGGAAGCGGAGAGAAAAAATCGCCGGGGGATAGGAAAAGAATAGATACGCGCGATACAGCGTGCGATTTCGCAGGTTGACTCTCCGCGAAGGATACGTCGGGCCGAGACCCTCCCCGGTGTCTTCCACGTTGTCGGCCGCGCGGAATCGACGATCCTCGGCGGATCCTCGCGTTCAAATTCATTCCAAATATCCGAACTCAAATCGCAGTAAATATTTGCGATCTCAATTGCGCGACGGCGCTTTTGTAATCAATTCGACGCGAAATCCCGCGCCCCCGGAAGAGATCGACGATCGAGAGACGTGGCACAGCTCGAGCGGCGAGCGACGAGTTCGCTGCGACCGATCGAATTCCGCGGGACGAAATTTATTTCCTCCCAAGCGACACCGCACGCTACCCACCCGGGGCGTCGAATAACCGCGGATACCTTTTGCGATTAATGACCGCGGCATTTTTCAGATTAGCCTCGCATAATTAGCGTGGCGTATGCCCGCTTATTTGAGTAGCACCTGCCAATCCTTCGACGGCGAAAATTTGCAAACTCGTTTAAGAGGAAGAATAGGATCATTTGCATGCGAAACGCGCGGCGCAAATTTATGCGCGCAGAAATCATACCTTCCAAACGGTGAAATATCGATTGTGACTGCACATTGAATGCGATAACAATATTAATATTAATGATATCAAATGTCGAATATTAATTGCGTGTAACATCGACAGTTTTGATAATCCCTTGAAATAGCCGTGGATATTATTAGTATTAATGGGACACACCGCGCTGATGTCGTGGGCCAGTTAATGCCGATGTTACAAGTACTGCTAAGTAATTATTATCCAATTAGTGGAAATTACTACGCTAATACTCCAAGTTGTCGCGAGCCGTTAGGAAACGTTCCTGAAGCGAGCGCGACGTTTTCGAGATAAATTCAACGTCCCAGCACGCTAAGAAATTACTTCGACGAGCGAGACCCGCGGTAAACTTTCCCGCAAAAATATCAAATTGCCCGAATAAATTCGACCGAACGTATCGCGAATCCAGTTACTGTACATTATATTTGTTTATTTCAATACGCTGTTAAATTTTACTCGACGAGCAGCCACCGCTGGTGCTACTCAGTACGTCGTTAATTTAATTAAACAACGGAGTTGAGAGAAACCATAAATGGATTGAGTAGAAGATGCAGGACGGTATTCAAATCTCGTGTTCGAAATCGTCTTAAGCCACTCCGTGGCCAATGAGATATTTTATGCAGCATCTTAAGATAAGCTTGAGACGGTCTTGAATATAAGATCTGACCACGAATACCGGGGGTTATTTTTTTAGCCACAATTTGCGTTGAAACAGTCAATTTTACAACGGAGTTGAAAGAAACCATAAATGGATTGAGTAGAAAATGTAGGACGGTATTCAGTCAAATCTTGTGTTCAAAATCGTCTTAAGACACTCCGTGGCCAA